TGTCCCTTAAATGTTTGCCTTTCAGCCTGGGCATGGAGGAAACGTATGGACTGGGGACTGAGGGTGAATTCTACTTGGGTTTGTGTTTTTTTTTTTCCAGGTGACCTTAAATAACGTGGAAGTCTGCAGTGAAAACATCATGACCCTAAAGAAGACTTTGGAGGTGAGGTGTGGATTCTTTACTGCTTTTTTCCTTAATCAAATTTGTAATACCCTCCCTTGGGGGGGTCAGTTAAAGCATCTGGACTTCTGCTGTGCCCAAATTCTTGAGGTCCTTGCCCTCCAGCCTTAGGAATGCAATTTTGAGCTGGCAGAGCAGTCTCCCAGTGGATAGTATCAGCTGGAAATACCAGTTCCTCCAGCCTAACCTATCTGGCACATGTCGGGAGCCAGAGCCAGTGGAATAATGTGTATCACTGGGAGGTTGTGGTTGTCTGGTGCTGGACTAATAGCCCATGGCGTCCTTTCTTGCTGTCCTCTCCCAGCTTCTTCAAAGGGGCAAGTTTGATGCCTGTCCTAGCTTGCAACCATGCTGGTGGGCACCAGAGCTCAACAACATGAAGAAATAGAAACTGCCCAAGCTATTAAACCTCAACTTGCTCATGGATCTCTTTCCCTGCAGAGTGACTGCAGCAAACTGCTTAGCCAAGGCTTTGGGGGTGAGCAAGCGCAGGCCAAGATTGACAGCTGCCTCTCTGACATGGCTGCTGTTTCCAACAAGTTCCGTGACCTGCTGCAGGTGAGTGTCTTGCTGAGTCACTGCTGGCCTCCTCAGGCAGGAATCATTTCAGTCCAAGGCCTCGGCCACATCTAGCTCTAGGAGGGAGTAAATAGTCAGCTTTCAGGCATGGAAACAGATCCAGCTTGTTTGCGGAGGCACACCAGCTGGTGGCTGTGTCAAAAGCACTGGAAGCAGCTGCAGAGCCAGAAGGAATATTGCTCCATTTGTCTTCAGTCAGCACAGAGTTGCAGTTAGTTCAGCATTTTCAAAAGAATTAATACGTGTAGCATTTCCATCTCCTCCATTTGCCCTTATGGCACAGAACACTGTCAGTTATGCAGAGCCTCCTAGATAACACTGAAGGTGGGCTGTTCATAGAGAAGAGCTGCCCTTCTCTAAGGTTTCTCCTCCTTTTCCCAAATGGAAATAATCCCTGGGAGGGGGAGCTAAATCCACATGCTGGGGCCTCTTGCCCTAAAATTTCACAGTGGTCTCTGGCAGGGAGAGAAGCAGAAACACCTAATACCTCTTTTGAGAGTGTTTAGAACCAGGTTTGCCATCAGCTTCATACTTCAGAGAGGCACCAGGCTATTTCTCATCTGGTTTTGCAGTTCCCTGCAGCCAGATGCCTTTGGACTGGCAGCAAACCCTCTTGAGGCTTGTGGTCGGTATGGAAACAAAAGAGCTCATCAGTAAGGAGTAAAACTCCAGTCTACTTCTAGTGCAGTATTAAAACTGGCTGCAAAACAATCAGGAGTCTGAGCAGCAAGCTCCTGCGCGTCCCAACTCACACAGACATTGAATTTGCCTTGGAAAAGGGACAATTGCCAGCAGGGCCTGCTCAGAAATGCCAGTTTTAGTTAAAAACTTCCAGCAAGCGCCAGGCTGTATTGGTACCTGAGTAGTTTCATGCTGGGTGAGCTTTTTTGACATCTTGCTGAGCCAAATGAGGGTGGTTGGCAGGAGGGAGCTTTCAGAGAGCTCTTTAGCATCAGAGCAGACAGAACAGCCTTTGCTGACAACCTGCTGCTCAGGGGAGATGGCGTGAGCTGGGGTTATGATTAATTCCGGGAACTAGCTGTGGTTACAGCTTTTATCCTCTTAGCTTCTCCTACTGAGTTAAGCTGCACTGGAGGTGGGAGGCATCAGTCAAGCCCAATCACAGTGGCCTCCTGGCTGTTGCTGAGTGGGAAAGCTGGTGTTTGTGTCCTTTCCTCCCTGTAGGGATGTAAACTGAATGCTTCTTTCCTGCCAGAAAATCTCCGCAGCCCTGTGAAAAGAGGTGGGAGAAGCACGAGCCCTTCAGACAAGGCTGCAAGTCAGCACAATGGCAGCTTTTGGGCCAGTGTCCTTCCTCTTCTTCTTGTGGTGTTCTCAAAGTACTTCAGCACCAGAAGAGTTTGGGACTGGGGGCTTCTGTGCTCAGCTTCCCATGCAAGCCTGTGGGTCAGTTTCCCCAGCTTGCAGTGGGGATTGGACACAGCATCAAGTCAGTGTAACTATAAAGGTTGTGTGCTGCTGTGCTCAGTCAGCTGTTAGCTGTGTTCTGTCACTCTTCTTCCTGTCACTCCCAGGAAGGTCTCAGTGAGCTGAACAGCACAGCCATCAAACCTCAGGTGAAGCCCTGGATCAACCTGTTCCTCTCCGTCTCCCACAACATCGAGGAGGTAAGGCTCAACATTCTCTGCTTCCAGCTGTGCTTCTGCACTCTGCATCCTCTGCTAGGCAGCACAGTCAGAGTAAATGCTGTCTCATTCCCCTCAGTTCTCTGCTCTTTCCTCAGCACAGAGCAACAGTAAAATACCCACAACTTGTTCTTTATGAAAGCCTGGAAAGGAGCATTTGGCTAGAGAGGAGCTTGAGAAAATGGAAGGGGTGCAGTGCTGCTCCAGTAGCCCCCTGCCTTCCTGTCCCATGGGCTATTTGCTGCTGTTCAGGGCAAGCCACGTTAACAGTCCTTTCTGTATTTCAATGTCAGGAGGAGTTCAGCGACTATGAGGCTAATGATCCCTGGGTCCAGCAGTTCATCCTGAATCTGGAACAGCAGATGACAGAGTTCAAGGTGAGAAGGATGAGGCAGTCCCAGGCTTTGGCCAGATTTCAAGTATCTTCCAATTTTTCCCTTGCACAGGGGAAGGATGGACTCAGATGTCCTGCAGTGCTATGCAGGGCTCTTAGGGATCCCGTTACCCCCTCCTCCTGCAGTTCTCAGGGCTTCCTTGCAAGCCCCAGATCCCTGGATCCCCCACTTGCTGAGTGTGCAAGTTATGACTCTTTATGTGAAAGCTCTCATAGGCTTGGCTTTTATGGATCTCTGCTCACAAGAATGACACGGGTTTCTGCTTCCAGGCTGGACTGTCTCCAGTGATTTATGATACCCTCACTGGTCTTATGACCAGTCTCATAGCTATTGAACTGGAGAAAGTGCTGCTCAAATCCACATTCAGCAGGGTAAGCAAAACTCGTCTGCCTTGTAGTCTGGCTTGATTGCAAACTCTCTGCTAGGAAATAAAACCCTCAGTGAAGGGCTGGGGCAGGGCAGAGGCAAATGTTACTCTCTGAAGCTCTGCCACCACTGGTAGCCAGCTCAGGCAGAGCTTGTGTTGGTGCACACAGGCAGAAAACATGTTGTGGTGGGACAGGGAAGAGCTTGCATCAAAAAGGGGGCTGGCTTTTAAGGTGGGCGTAAACATAAGCTGGTTTAACCAGCAATAAATGGGCTAACTGGAGCCCTCCTGCTCAGTGACCTTCCCCTCTTGCCCTGGTATTTGTTTATTGTGTGTCTGGCACAACACCTGCGCCTGTTTGCAGAGTTAACAGTGCTCCCTTCACCCCACAGCTTGGCGGTCTGCAGTTTGACAAGGAGCTGAGGTCCCTCATAGCCTATCTTACCACAGTCACCACCTGGACTATCCGCGACAAGTTTGCCCGACTTTCCCAGATGGCCACCATCCTCAACCTGGAAAGGGTGAGCTCTGCTTTGCCTGCTTTTACTGAGGGATTGTAGGAGCCCTGGCTGTACTCCACAGGATTTACTGGGCTCATCCTGTCACTGTCGACATTTGTAAGGTATGGACAAGGTGCCCCATGCCTGATGGGTGTTTGTTAGTGGCAGGAAATAACGTGACTGCATTTGAACTTGCCTGTGTGGGCAGTCAGTGCCGAGGTGGCTCCTGCAGCTCTCGTCTCTCCTCTCCAGGTGATGGAGATCCTGGATTACTGGGGCCCAAACTCAGGCCCGCTGACCTGGCGCCTCACTCCTGCCGAGGTCCGGCAGGTGCTGGCTCTCCGGATTGACTTCCGCAGCGAGGACATCAAGCGCCTGCGCCTTTAGCTGGGTAGGGGGTAACAGCAAGAAGGATGCCGCCAGTCTGATGGACAGTGTGGGGATGGGGTGTTGTCTGCCCTTCTGCTTGTGTTCCTTGGAGCAAAGGGCTTTCCTGGGCAGGGCAAGAAGAGCCACCATCCTTTTGCGGGAGCAGAAACAAGGCAGCAATCTCTTACGTGAAGAGCAACGTGACACTATTTCTCAAGACATGAGCTAGTTGGAAGGACCAACTTGTGCCAGCTCATAACTCCATTATGCTGACCTGTGGGAGGACCCAGGTCAGGGAATTTGGGGCTGTTGTGGTGTGGCTCAGATATGGGGCTGCAGAGATTGCTCTGCCTGTGCTGCTGGCCACAGCTGGGTTTCTTCGTGCCACCAGTTGAAGGGTCAGCTACTAGAGTCCTGCACATCTTGAGCCCTGGCTGTCTCCTGGTGGTAATGGGAACCATTCTGGAATGATTTCCTTACTGAGAGGGTGCTCAGAAAATCCATAGCCACTGTAGGAAGCACAGCTGTGTCGATGCTAGCTTCTTGTGCCCTGGACAGCTACTCTGTAAATAAACCTCACCTGGCTAAGCAGCAACCTCAGGTGATACGTGTGTGTTTGTGGGCCTGGAGAGAGCTGGTGAGATGCAGGACAAGAGCTGGGCACCATTTATCTTCTTCCACCCTGTGCTGCAGCACCAAGAGGATCTTTCTTCCCACTCCCAGCTGGCAGTGGCATAGCACAATTAAAAATACCCCAGAGCTAGCACCAGGAGCCAGCCTGCTGCCAGGTGTGTCTGCCTCCTGCAGCAGCATTTCCACCTCTGACAGCCAGGGCTATGGAGGCCAGTAACCAGAATATGCTGTACCTACACAAGGAGACCTTTGCTTGCGCAGTACTGGGACTCTGAGAGCCCGTTGGGAGGGAGGAGCTCTGCTGAGGAGAGAGGGGAAATAAACACCTGCTGGAAACAACCTGCTTTATTCAAAGGGACTACAGGGACAAGTAACTCACTGCAGAAATACTCTCTGAGCATGGGCAGGACTTGATTCCACATCCAGGTACATCCTTGGTGCAGGAACATTGTGTGCCAGTTGGGCAATCTCTGCTGCAAGAAGAGCAGGAAGGTCCCTGCTAGAAGCAGCATCACAACTGCCCATTCTTTTCCCTTTGGAGAACTATGAAAGCTGGAGTGAAACCCCCAAATCAGCCTGGAGGCCCTAGCAAGCTGTCTTTCTGGCTAAGCTTCCCTTCTAGGGATGGTTTTGCCTGTGCCACTTGTGACAGCTTTCCAGCCTCTGTGACTTTTGGGGCATGTAGTAGCACAAAAAGGCCATATAAAGACCTAAGGCACCTACTGGAGCCGTCTGAAGCAGCAGCCTCTAAATCAGCAGAGATGTCCCTGCTTTGGAAGGCTCTAAATCAGCAGAGATGTCCCTGCTTTGAAAGGCAGCCGGCTGCTGCCTCTCCTGCCCTGTCTGCCTGCCAGGAACAAGTCAGAGCAAAGGCTTTCACACAGCCATATGCTCCCCAGGGCAAGCACTGTCTTCTGTATCACATCCCACAACCTTCACCGAGAAACCGCCCGTGTCCACTTCAACGCTGTGGATGCTGAAATTGCCCAGTCCCTAGGAAACAAAGAACAGGGACACAGGTGAGGCAGAAACCAGCAACGGACCTGCCCTCCACAGACTGGGGAGAGCTAAGGGGACAGCAATCAATCTCATCCCACTGTCCCATCTCATTCACCTGTGCCACTGAACTGCCTGGGAGCCCATGTCTCACCTCAGTTTTGGCTAGAATTTGGTGCAAGACCTCTTTCTGCCTCGGGGCTCTGGTTAAGACATAAAGGAAGCCACCGCCGCCAGCCCCAGCCAAACACTGCCCATAAACATAGGGCCGGAGAGCATCCATCATGCGCCCAACAGCCAGCGGCTCACACCCAGGTGCCATGCATTTCTTCTGCTGCCAGTAGCAGTCCAGACACTTTCCAATGAGTGACAGGTTACCTGCAGGAGAGGATATTGCAAACTATCTGCCTTTGTTTCTCATCCAAGAGGCAGGTCTCTGCCTCTCCTGCTCAGCACAAGCTAAATTCTGCCTTCTCATCTACCCAAGAAAACCTAGCCCTGTCACATTGCTGTTTATTTCTAATCCTCCACAGGTGGAGAATTTGCTTGCTCTAATGTTCCAGCGTCTCCTCCACAGCATCCCAGCAGCCAAAGGCCAAATGACTCCACAGCAAAGGACAGGCATCGCCCCCAGTCCCATCATGAATGACTTGCAGAACACCAGCCAGCCTTGATGTGTCTCATCCTCCCTTCCTTAAAGTCTGTTTTTCAAGCCTGAATTTTGGGACATTGCCTGTAACATGAGGGTGGGCCTGGGGGAGGAATTTTGCCTCCTCAGGACTGCACAGACTCTCCCCAGGGAGGTTTGTGTTCCTTCAGTTGTTAGAAGGGCCAGCCTGGCTCAGGAGAGGGGGCTCACACCTTGCCTCAAGGCCTGGGCACACTCCTCGGCGTTGCTCACCAGCGCATCAGCATTTTGCACAGCTGAGGGCAGCCTGGCATACCAGTTCCTCACCACATCCTGAAAGAGACCAGAATGTCCCTGTCACCATCCTCTTGGGTCCAGCAGCACCCAGGGAGGCAGTGCTGCACACGCAGCCTTCAGTGCTAGCTCCTGTTGGGGTGGCAAAGCTGTGTACCAGAGAAGGGGACAGGCACCAGAGCACATGGGGAGAGCCGAGGCTGGAGGCTGCAGCACTCAGGGCCACCCTGGCATTACCTGGAGCAGGTTGCGAGCTAGGCGTGTCTTCCCCGTGTACACCAGCAGCAAGTGATCATTGAGAGTCTGAGTAAAGCCATCGGGCACCTGGATGTCCTCCACCTCCACCCTGAGTGGGAGCTGGGCCTTTGACCTCCCAATTTTGATGCCTGGCACGAGCCCACCGACCTGATCCTGCCAACCGCCACCTGCAAGGGCAGAGGAGCCTCAGCCACTGTGAGGCCCCCACCCTATGGGCTGACAGCTTCCCCTAGTGCCTACCTGTTGTGAGCCTCTGCTCCAGATGCAGCACGGCGTGGATGAGAGACTCAGTGCTGGCAGTCTTCCCAGCTGCCCGGTACAGCGCTGCCATCACCGCTCCTGCCAGGATGCTGCTGGTGCCTGCAGGGAGCACAGGCAGGATACATGCTGGTGAGAGCCTGGGAGCAGAGAGGGAGATCCCCCATCATCATGCTGGTAGCAGGAACTCCCCAGCCCTGTCCCTACAGACTTACCGAGGCCAGACCCATGGGGCAGTGTGGACCAGGTGTGCACCTCAAACCCACCCCTGAAGTTCTCCATCAGCTGGGCCTGCAAGGGTTTCTGTGAGGGGAACTGCACAACTTGGCTGCAGATGAAGGCAGCTTTGAGCAGGGCTCCTGAAAAAAAAAGAGAAAGCAAAGCTGACACCTGCTCCCTCACCCCATCATCCCTCAAAAAGGGACACCCTAGCACCATGGGGTCACAACATCCAGGGGGACATCACAGGTATGGAACTGGTCTGTGTGGCTGGTGGCACCTCACCTGGTGCATGTGGCTGGCAGTAATCCCGCAAGTGATCCAGCTCCCGGCACACCAGCTCCGCCACCGCCTCACTCTGCGGCGTCCCACCAAGGCTGACCAGGCGCAGCTCTGGCTCACTGATGCGCCGCACCTGCGCACCAATGGGCCAGCACCCGTCCACCAGCACTGCCACGTCTACCACAGCCCCACCGTGCTCATAGGTGATGGGGGGTGTGTCGCTCCAGCCGCCTGCAGATGCTTGCCATCAGCTCCCTGCACCACAGGTGTGAGACATGGATCATGCCTGGGGCAGGGGACACACTCACCAGAGAGGTCCAGGCGGGCTGGACACACCACTTGCACCCAGTGCCCCAGGGGTGGCAGCTCTGCCTGTCCCACAGTGACAAACTGGCACGAGGACATCACTGCCTGCCGAACGAGGATCTGCTCAGCCCCCTCATAGTGCCGAGCTGCTCTCACCAGAAGAGCTGGCCTGGGAAGAGAAGGATGTTTGGAGAAGGGAAGGCTGTGTGGAGACCTCATAGCAGCCTTCCAAGTGTCTGAAGGGGGTCTGCAAGGATGCTGGAAAGGGACTCTTCATCAGCAACTACAGGGGCGATGGGTTTACTGAAACAAGAAGTTCAGATTAGATACAAGGAAGAAATTCGTTACTGTGAGGGTAGTGAGGCACTGGAACAGGTTGCCCAGAGAAGTGGTGAATGCCCCATCCCTGGCAGTGTTGAAGGTCAAGCTGGACACAGCCTTGGGTGACATAGTCTAGTGTGAGGCATCCCTGGCCATGGCAGGGCCTGGAACTAGACAATCTTAAGGTCCTTTCCAACCCAAACCATTCTACGATTCCGTGCTGAGCCCACCACTGCAGCTCCATGACTCTGCTGGTGCCTGAGATAGGGCAGCTCACCAGCCCCAGCCTCACCTGCTCATCCACTTCTGCCGCTCAGCAGCCAGCTCCTGGACACCGCCGGCGATGTCCCCACTCTCCAGGCGCCCAAAAGCTGAGGCCCACTCCCTGTTGGCAGCAGGACCACTCCGCAAGCCCCCTTCCCCTCGTGCCATGCAGCCCAGCACCTCAGCGATGCAGGCGAGTGCCCGTGCTGCAATGCCAGCGTCACCAGCTGTGGAGGCAACTAGAAAACAAAAGGAGGATGCAAAGCCACAGGCAGGCTGCAGGCCATAGAATCATAGAGCCTTAGACTGGTTTGGGTTGGAAGGGACCTTAAAGCTCATCCAGTTCCAATGCCCTGCCACGGGCAGGGACACCTTCCACTAGACCAGGTTGCTCCAAGCCCTGTCCAAGCTGGCCTTGAACACTGCCAGGGATGGGGCAGCCATAGCTCCTCTGGGCAACCTGTTCCAGTGTCTTACCACCCCACTTGTGCAATGAGTTGGCTCCCAGGAAGAAGGACTTGCATGGCTTGCACGCGTCCTGGTTTGTTGGTGCCATTGCAATGGCAGGGTGTCACTGGAGAGGGTGGGGAGCACCAAACAGCCATGACATCCAGAGATGCAATACATAGCTCATGTGAGTCCAGCTCACCTTCATCCAGTGTGCCCAACACAGCCTCATGGTAGCCCTCATGGACAGCACTGCGGGCTAGGGGCAGGAGGCTGCTGTCCTTGCGTCCCAGCAGCACACGCCGCACCTTGTGCTGGCCCTGCAGGAAGAAGAGGGCCTGGCGGGCACCCAGCTCAGCCGCCTTGTCCAGGCAGGGCAGCAGCTCCTGCCAGGACATGCGCCAGGCCGCCCGCCAGCGTGCCAGCCGCTCACCAGCCACTGGGGCCAGCAGCCACAGCACATCCTCCAGCCCCAGTGCCTCGTGGGCATGCAGCACTGGGAAGAGCCGGGCACTCAGCAGGCAGCGGCTCCCCTGTGGCATCTCAGCATCCCAAAGGTCCCCTTCCCTGATGGAGGGAGAGCACATCAGTACCGCCCTGGGCCTTGAGGACAGCTTCCAGAGGGCAGCCAGAATGCAGGATGGATTGAGGTGGCCGTGACACCTCCCCATTGCAGCCACTCCCAGGGGAGCCAGGTCTTCTGTCCCATCCTGGCATGTGGCACCTACCGTACACCTGTCCGATGGAAAAACTCAGCCCAGGGCATGTTCAGGTAGGTGGCCCTTTCAGCTGGGCTCTGCAGAGGGATAGAGCAGCTGGTTACATGCTGGCTTTGAGCGGAGACTCTCAGCGCCTTGCCACCCCTGTACCTGCCAGTCATCAAGGCGGCCAGTGAGAGTAAACACATGGCAAGGCAGATCACGCAGCTGCACGTGGTGGCCCTGCAGGACAACGTCATGTAGGGGAAAGCCCTGCAGGGCTGGTGAGGAGCCTACAGTGAGGCCAGAAAGCAGGCAGCCAGGACCAATCTCCAGGGGACCCTGTGAAGAGGCAGCAGGGCTCTGAGACCCCAAACTAGAGCCAGATCCCAACATCAGAAAGGGAAAAACACCCTGGGAGACAAGCTGGGGCCAGCAGGAGCCAGGTACCAGAGGGGGACACTTTGCTTTGTTGTGGGGCCGCAGGGACACGGAACTGCAGAAACTCAGGCCAAGGCTTGCAGCCATGACAGAGGATCTGCCCTGGTTCCCAGGGAGGGACAGGCCAGGGGTGACCTGGTCCCTGTGCCTGGGGAGGGCAACAACCACCAGGGTCCCCAGCACCACCTGAAAGGCAGCCCCAAAGAGAAGGGCACCCCAAATCTCATAGCTGTGGGTCCCACACCCCAGGGCCACCTCACTCTGCTGCCCATCCAGCGTACTGAGAACTTGGGGTCACCCCCATCGCAGCCACGTACCTGGAGGTGACAGTGCTGGATGACACTGCCGGCCGCCACCCGCACGGCTCCTTCTAGCAAGCAGTTGGTGACCGAAGAGCCATCCTCCAGGAGACAGGGCTGCTGCCAAGGGCGTAGAGGCATGTGGGACCAGGTCCTAGCCCAGAGCAACCACCAGAACATGTGTGTGAGCAAGGGTGGGGCTGGAAGGACATACATCCACATGGGAATGGGCTGTTTTGCAGAAGCAGAGGTGGCTGGCAGAGCTGGGCAGGAGCGTCAGGCTGCGGATGTGGTCGCTCGCAGAGGTGGTCATGTAGTCATAGGATGCATTGGGAATGCAGGCTGTGAGGGACAGGAAAGCTGTCAGCACACCAACGGCAAATGTGGCTGTGCCCAACACCTATGTGAGCCAAGGACAGCCAGGTTGAACACACCGCCAGTCAAAGGGGGACAGAAAAGACCTGGGGACCTGCAGCTGTGCGGAGAAACAGCCAGGCCCTGACCACGCCATTTCTCCTCACAGAGGGGAAGAGGGCTCAGGTATGGGTCATGTCAGTGCACCACCGCAGCATCACTTACCCATGCTAAGTGGGAAGGCGTGGAGAGCTGCCCACAGCACGGAGCGGGCATTCCTCACACTGGTGTCACCACCACCCTTCACAAAATCCTGCTCTGTCACCCCCCTTGCCATGCACAGCACAATGTCAAAGAAGAGGGAGAGCTAAGGAGAGAAGGGACCTGTTGGGTGCAGCCACCCTGACCCCCACCCTGCTGCTGGGTGCTGCCCTCCTACCACCTCTCCCACCCAAATGTGGTGTGGTGTGTGGGGCAGAAGCCCTAGAGGGCAACAGACCCTAAAGAGATGCCCAGCAGCAGCACCCATGGGGTAAGGAGTCCTGTCCTCCGCAGAGGGGCTGTCACCTGGATGGGTGGTGCCCCTGAGTCCAGTCCCATGTACGTGCAGGCATCTAGAGGAGGGATGACATGGGTGGCCAGAAGCTGCTCGGCAGCATCCGAGGAGAAGAAAACCACCCCGCACACCTGCGAGGGCACAGCAGGGCTGAGGCTGCAGCCATAGTGACAAAAGGGACGGGGCTGGCAAGGCCACCAATGCCCATGTCATGCCGTACCAGTGGGACGGTGCCATCAGGCCCTGCACACTGCTGGATCTGGGCCTCTGTGCCTTTGTAGATGATGTTGTGCACCAGCCCCTGGGAATGAGACCACCACAATGAGCTTTTCAGGGAGCCCCAAGCCAAGCAGCCACAGCAGGGCTGGGACCTCAGCACCCAAGGCACTGGAGGGGTAAGGACCCCTGTGCCTCCAAGGGCACCCCTTGGAGGAGGAGCTGCTACTGACCTGTTCATCAGTGAGGTAGACCCCGTGGTTCCTGGCATATGCCTGGCTCCCAGGCACTGCAATTACTCTGACACCCTGGAGGCCATCCCAGTCAATCCCTGAGGAGAGGGACACAGAGCAGTGTCCACTGGGGCAGCACACATACCTGCCCAAGGCTCAACTGCCTGAAAACAGGGTGTATGTCAGAGGAGATGAAAGCAGTGTTCAGTCTTGGCCACCTTGCTTTGAGCATGACAAATGCTCCAACTGTACGTGCGCCAGCAATGCCCAAGTATCCACACACTCATGGGAGCACACTGCAGGCTAGACCAGCTGTGCTACAGGCTCTGCCCCCTGTCCCAAAGCAAAGCACGTGCTGGAGGCAAGGCTGGCACCACTCACCTGGTGCTGAGGGCACACTGAGGAGCATGTCAGTGCTGCAGACCCACACGCCAGGCGGGGAGCCCACACAGAGCTGTGGAGACAAGGGCCACGTGCCCAGGGAGAGCAGGGAAGGGGCCCAACCCTCACACCCTTCCCACCCTGCTGGGAGCCAGCTGAAGGCACCCCGAAGGCTTCAGCCCTCACACCTGGGTGCCTAGCATTGCACAGCACTAGCCCAGAACCCCGTTCCACAGGCCACACAGACCCGGTGTGTCATGGTCCCCAGCAGGCTGTCCAGGTTGCAGATAAGAGCTTCAGCCGCAGCACCGGGCTCCTCCACAGGCAGGCAAGTAAAGGCCCGGCCACAGTCATCGAAGGAGAAGTCACGGCCCTGGTGGGGAGGGGAACGCAGGGGTTGTAACAGGGAGAAAGAGGAAACGCTATAGAGCGTTTCAAGTTGGGCTGCAGGCCGGCTCTCACCGTGTGCAGAATGAGGATGTGGGCTTCCTTCAGGACATCGGAGGTCACCACCTGGGAGAGCAGTGCAGAGAACAGTCACTGGGGACAGGGAAGCCACCCCTTTCCCCACCCTCTTGCAGCCTCCCCGGCCCCGCCAGAGGCTGCACCCCGCTCCCCCGGAAGGGGAAGGCCCCTCACCGTGCAGCCCGCCCGGGCGCTGAGGTGCTCGGCCGCTACCAGCAAGGCATTGAGGGTGGCCCCGCCGCTGCCCAGGCGGGCCCATGGGTCCTCCACGGCCAGGAGCAGCGGCGGGGGCCGCGGGCCCAGGCCGCCCCTCAGCCGGCGTACTTCCAGCTCTGCCAAGCGAGAGGCGGGCGGCGCTGAGAGCTGGCACCCCCCGCTCCTTCCCGCTCGGCCCGGGGGGAGAGGGCGAGCTCCAGCCCCGCCGCTTGCCTCGCTGGAAGGCGGACACACAGCCGCCGCGCTGGCAGGTGAGGACGAGGACGCTCCACTCCGCCGCCATAACTGCGCCGGACCCTCTGCTGCTCTGCTGTGCACGCTGGGAGATGTAGTCCAAGCCGCCGGCACTCTCTGCGGAAGGCCCGCGGTGAGGGACTACATCTTCCAGCGTGCGCTTCGCGCATGGGCAGGCCTGGGCTGCTTAAAGGTACAGTGTACCCCTGCCCCGGCGCTGTAGTGCCTCTCCCCCGCCCCTAGGGTGGTTTCAGAGGGATCATGGTTTTTTTTACGTTTTCTGCCCCAAAAAGGCACCCTCAGCCGCCGGAGGCTCGCACCCCTAAGTGCCCTGTGTCACCTGTGTCACGAGCCCGCCCGGACTCAGCTCGGCTCCCCTGCGGCGAGCAGGGCAGCAGCTGTGGGTGCCGATGTGCGCCCCGGGGTGGATGCCCTGGGGCTGTTGGGGTGGAGGGGGGCGGTGGGCTGCTGGTGGGTGAGCCGTGTGTGCGGGCGTTGGGTACCGGGGAGTGCTGATGTGCCGGGTGGGTACTGGCATGGGGATGGGGGCATGGTAGCGGGGTGGACACCGAGGGATGCCGATGTGCGGGGGTGGGTACCAGGAGGTGCTGATGTGTCGGGGTGCGTATGGGGGTGGGTACCAGGGAGGAGTACAGGGCGTCCACGGACGCCAACGAGCCGAGTGGATACCAGGATGGATCCCGGGGGGGGTTGCGATGCGCCGGTGGGTACGCGGGGGTTATACCGGCGGTAGCCGATGCGCCGGTCAGTGCACCGGCACACACACCAGAGGTGCTGGTGGGCCGGGTGGGCTCTCCTCCTACAAGTCCCACAAGCCCCCCGGGCTGCAGCGGACTACATCTCCCAGGCTGCCGGGCCAGATCCCCCGCCCCGCACGGCGCGGCTCGGCCCAGCCCGGCCCCGCACAGCCCCTCGCGGCGCGGAGGGCGCGGCGCCGAGCGGCGGGCCGGCAGCAGCGGCGGCAGCGGCGGCAGAGGGGCCCGCGTGCGCCCGGTGTCGGGGCCGTGCAGGAGCCGAGCCAGGTACAGCGGCGGAGAGCGGGCCCGGGGCAGGGGTGCGCCGGGGAAGCGTGGCCGGGAGCTGCCCCCTTGCTGGGGAGCACGCCCCCGAGACTTACTGGGATCAGCCCCGGCGAGGATGTGGCGGCCCTGGCCCCGCGGTGCTAGCCCCGCGGAGGATGCTCGGCCCTGGAAGGAAGGGGTCGGGGCTGGGGGTGCTCCCCGGCGAGCTGGCCCTCTCCAGCCGAGTGTTGCGGAGTGCTGCTCAGAGCACGGACCCCGGTGAGGGGTGCTGGGGGCAGAGCTGGGGTGGCTACAGCGGGGACCGGAGTAAGGGGGGACGCTGTCTGAAGGTGCCCCCAGTCCCCAGCAGTGACAATGTGCATGTGAGGTCCTTCAGCAGCAGAGTGACACATGGCTGCGTGACACACGGCGTCTTCGCCGGGGTAGTGGCAGCCAGCATTTCACAAACACAGCGCGAGCGGCCCTGGGGACAGGGTTGGAAACTGTGTCACCGAGCAGGAACATGTCCCCTGCCTGCGGCTGTGTATGCGAGGCGGCGGCGCCAGTGTGGGAGCCGGTCAGCCTCCAACCCGCCGGGGTTAGGGGTGTCTCCCCGGCCGAAGCACGGCCTTTGGGGTGCTGGAGCCGAGCTTTCAGGTCCTGGGGATGCAAGGGGTCCCCATGCACGCAGGGGGCTTGGGTGCTGCTGAGAAGGTGAGGTTTTGCTGGGGCTCCAGCTGTGAAGCCAGAGTGTTTATTGCAAAGCTCCCAGATACTTCCCCAGAGTGAGGACTCCCCATGCCAGCAGGAGGATTTTGGGGTATGAGGAGGGTGCTTGGGCAGCGGGGAAGCTTGGACTGGACAAAGGGCCACATCCCCTCTTTCTGTGAACAGGGGAAAAACATGGCTGAGTGAAACCAAATAACCTCAGAGCCCCCAAACTTGGTGCATTTCCCTCCAGGAGGATGTGTGGGCTCCATGCTGGTGGAGGTAGTTTTGCCCCCCGTTATCTGCTGATCTCCCCTTTTCCAGCATGTCCCCAAGCACACTGGCTACATCCCAGCCATCCCGAGGCAGTGAGCTGTGACGGGAAGTTGCTCAGCACTTTGGGCTTGGTTTGCCTTTTTCTTCCCCTTTTATTAGAGCCAGATGTTGCGTCTGCAGCAGTGATGCTTGGGGCGGGAAGAGAAAGCTGCCGTCCCCTGCAAACCACCATGTGCGTGCCCCTCTGCCTGTCTGTCTGTCTGTCTGTCCCCATCTGGCAGTGAGCAGCAGCCCTGCTGCCGGTTGCCTGCAGCAGCTGCCTGTCAAAAGCCTTTCCCTCTCCTCCAAGGAGCTCATGGCGGTTCTTGGGAATGGCAAGACGCGCTCTGCTTGCTCGCCCACGTCTTGCTGGCGCTGGAGGCATGCAGGGAGAGGAGAGCACTCAGGAGAGCCCTGGCAACCACACACTGGGTGAACTGACTTGGGCTTGAAATTTTCATGCCCAAACAACTCCAGACTGGCACTTTTGGCCGAAGGCATTGGTGGTTCCAAGGGCAAAATGGTTTTCCCGACGGCTCTTGGCACTCCAGATGCCACCCCAGCTTGGCCCATGCCAAGGTCCCAGCGGCTTAATGGCTTTCATCTCCTCCTGCTGCATTTAATTCTTGCAAGAGTGCAAACTGCTAATTGCTCTCCAGCGGCTGGGCTGGCTTCAGTGCTTCCCAATGAGCTGTGATTTATCAGAGCCTGCCGGTCCCTGAGGGCCTGGGTTGTAATGGGAGAGGCTGTGAACCTTGGTCTTGGGCTCCAGGGGATCTCTCAGCTCCAGGTTGCCCTTTGCCATTGGCATGTCCTGAAAGGTTTTTTTGGAGACTGCAAGAAATGTGGGCCTTGGCTCTGTGGCAGAGTTCCCAGAGATGCTCCCCAAACCACATATGGATGAATGATGAATACATATAAACATATATAATATGTTTAATAAGAAATATGTATAATCTGTATTTTTTCCTTTCAGTGATGGGGCTCTAAAGTAACCCCAGTGACAGTAACTCTTAGAAAACCAGAGCAAGGTGCAGGCACTTTGCCACCATGTCCCCACCAAAGGACCTTTGATCTGCAGCCATAATTGAGCTAATTAGGAACATGCAAATGCTCCTTCTTCTCAGTGTCCAAGCAGAGCCCTTGCTAGCAGAGAGGAGAAGCTGGGTTCCCTCACTGGGTCCTGCTCTTATTTTACATCTGATGGGAGCACCTGGCAGTTGTTGGTCTGTCCTGGGATCAATGGTGGAGCCTTTCCTAACACCCCTGTGATGAAATCTCCTAGGTACAATTTTCCTAACAAGTTCAAGGTCCTCTCAGCCCTGCCCACAAGCAAAACAGGTTGTAGTTCTCCCCTGGGGCTGCGTCCTGTGGGAGAAAGGGAGCTTTTGGTCACAGCACCCATCAACCAGCCCTCAAACCCTACAGGTTTCCATCGCTTCCCATCCTTGGAGCTGCTGAGCTCCAGGGAGAGGGATGCAGTGGGGGCCTCACATCCCTGCTTGCCTTCCCTGGGCAAAAGGCCATGGCTGGAGTCAGCTCCCCAGCCTGGTGTTGGCCCATCCTGCACTCCTGCACATTTTTTCCCGGTGAGGCATGGATCATGAGCCTTATGGCTGGGGAATATGAGCTGTAAGAGTGGAGGGGGAGCACTTCCCTCCATGCTGGGTGCTGGTGATGAAGGGGAGGAGGAGTCTGCCCTTGCTGGGGACCATGCCTGCTGCAGTGTGCCACATCCTTGCAGGTGGCTGAGGACAGGGAGAGACCAATTTGGGGGTGTCCCTGGAGTGCGTTGCATGGGGAGCTGGAGGGAGGATGAAGGAGAGGAAGCAGTGGGTGGTGGTGAGCACCAGGCTCTGCCTCCCCTGCTCTGCCCGGACTCGCTGGCCACCCCATCTGCTAGCCAGCCTGAGCTCAGGTGCTCAGTGTGACCCAGCTCCATGGTGCCCAGACCAGTGGTATCTGATGTGGTGGTACACAACCTGGTGGCTTGGTGGAACCCAGGTCAGTAGTACCAGTCAGTGAGGCAGTTGGTGCAAACCGGGGGCTCTGGAGTGGGTGCCTGGGGGTGCAGGGCAGCAGGGCTGGCTCTGCCCTTTGGCTATGGCTGGCTCTGCAGGCATTCAAGGCCGGGGCGGGCAGAGTTTCTCCACTGCATCAAACTGAGCAGCGACTTCCTGTCCTCTCCCTGCCTGTCCTCAGCTGAGGCTGCCTCCAGTGCAGCGACCTGGGCATAATGAGGCCACATGGAGAGTGCAGCCTTGGGCTTATCAGCCACCCTGGAGTGCAGGGATGTTGCAAGCCCCTTCCAACCACAAGGGTGGGAGCATCCCTGTCTGAACTTTCCCACTGCCGGCACCTCCCCTGCACCCCCAAATCCTGTAGGAAACGACCTCACCAGTGGTTGGCTCTGGCCCAGCTCCATGCCGAGTATTTGGCCTTCCAGGCTCTTTCCTGGCCTCATCCCAGTGCTGAGGGATGAGCCTGAAATAACCTCTCCGGATGCTGGGCACGAGGAAACCCTGGAATTGCTGCCATGGCCAGCAACCAATTAACTGGGCTCCATTAGCTGATTGAGCTGGCTGATAAGAGTATGATTAATTAAAAGGATAAAGAATAAGTTACCTGGTCCTTACTGCTGTCAGGTGGTGGTGATGGCTTAACCCATGAAATTGGCTTCTCCTGTTAATCCCTGGTGCCATCAGCCCTTCGTGGCATCACTTAACAGGGAGAAAAAGCACCAACACTGGGCTTGCTTCCTTTCCCATCCACCTTCCAGAGAGGAAAAAAAAAAAAAAAAGATAAAGGGGAAAAATATGATCCCTCTGGGTGGGCAGTACAGGAAAGGACCTTTTTAATTAACCATGCTTTTCTTGCTGGGTCTCAGTTTGGATTTGGAAGCCAACTGATGCAGAAGGACAGGAGCATCGCCCCTTCCTGTGCTGCCTCCGACAGATTCCTAGTCACCGTTCCAAGCTAACATGAGCTGACAGCCCCAGCTAAA